CACTGGGGTTTGTGTCCCATGTGTGGGATGCGCTGTTGGGGACAGAGGGTCTCCTGGCAGGTGCCATAAGGGGGTGGGGGTCCCACGGGGGGTGACATGGGGGGTCCCATTGGGTGCTGGGTTTCCATAGCTGCCCCCTCCTGGCGCCCTGCCTGCTGCAGTCCCTGATGCTGCCCGCTGTGTGCAGGTATCTCGCAGGTGGTGAAGGACCATGTCACCAAGCCCACGGCCATGGCGCAGGGCAGGGTGGCTCACCTCATCGAGTGGAAAGGCTGGTGCAAGCCCGTGGACTCCCCGGTGGCCCTGGAGAGCGCCTTCAACTCTCCATAGCTGCCCCCTCCTGGCGCCCTGCCTGCTGCAGTCCCTGATGCTGCCCGCTGTGTGCAGGTATCTCGCAGGTGGTGAAGGACCATGTCACCAAGCCCACGGCCATGGCGCAGGGCAGGGTGGCTCACCTCATCGAGTGGAAAGGCTGGTGCAAGCCCGTGGACTCCCCGGTGGCCCTGGAGAGCGCCTTCAACTCCTACTCGGACCTGAGCGAAGGGGAGCAGGAGGCCAGGTTCGCAGCAGGTGAGAGCGGCGCGAGGGGCTTGGGCAGGTGGTGAAGGACCATGTCACCAAGCCCACGGCCATGGCGCAGGGCAGGGTGGCTCACCTCATCGAGTGGAAAGGCTGGTGCAAGCCCGTGGACTCCCCGGTGGCCCTGGAGAGCGCCTTCAACTCCTACTCGGACCTGAGCGAAGGGGAGCAGGAGGCCAGGTTCGCAGCAGGTGAGAGCGGCGCGAGGGGCTTGGGCACCAGGATGCCAAGGGGCTCACGTCGGAGAATGATGCGGGGGGGGGCATGGAGGCTGCCAGGCACCTCGCAGAAATGAGGCCCTGCCCACCGAGCTCCCCAGCTGAGACGCCTGGAGCCAGAGAAATGGGGGGAAGGTGAAAGCAGGACTAACCCCCACCTTAGATCAGCGAGGGGGGGTCACATCCCCTCCATGCTGTGGGAATGGGAAGAACTGCCCCTTACGGGGGTGTTACCAGCTGGGAAACACCTCCCCTGGTCCTCTCCCCCTGCAGAGCCTGGAGGCAGTTGGGGGGAGCCCTGAACAGCGCCCCCCGGCCCCCAGCTGAGCACGGCTTGCTCCCCCGCTGCAGTAGTGAGAGCCATGCCCTTCCCGCCGGATCCGCCTCATGCACGGCCCGCTGGCCGCGATCCCCGTGGGCCCATCCCCCCTGGTTCCTGGCCTGCACTGGGGGTTTCCTCAGGCAACGGGGGGGCCCTCAATGGGCCAGCAGCCAGGCCATGCAGGGCAACATGGAGCCCAGGCCCCCCGCCAGGACCTGTAGAGGGCGCAGACAATAGCCCAGAGTCTGCACTGACCCCCGGAGCCTGGCTCGCGAGCTCTTTGCCCAGCGCTGTTTGCAGGCGGGTTGGTTTTGCTGCAGCCCAGAGGGGATCGGCCCAAGGCAGGGCCTGCGTCCTGCCCGGCTGGGCCTGGTTCTCGCTCTCCACCGCCTGGGGGGCTCTTCTGAGCTCTGTCCTTGGAGGTCCCTGCAGCACCAGGCTGGGAGCTGAGTCGCTGAGCGAGTGGGAAGCAGGGAGCGGAGCCAGAGAGGGAGCCATGAAG